TTATAAATAGAAACAGTTAGAATTTAAAATCTTTTATAAACATTTACATAACTGTTTTATTATGTTATTATACTCAGTATTGCCTCACTAAGTCATAGACTTAGCGTGTGAGTGTTTTCACATGTAGGTTTAAAGTTATTCGAAGAGTAAGCCGAGTAAGCAAGGGACATGACAACATACCTCCGAAGATTATCAGATCAGAGAAAAATTGAAATGTAGGTGATTGTGTTATGAAATGTTGTTGGCATGTATCATAAATGTAAAGTATAGATGCTCTGATATGTATTTTAACTATGATTTATTAAGTTTTGTTTTCCTTGTCATGTTTTAATCGCATTTTAAAAAGAGTCAAAGAGTTTGAAAAGTAAATGTGATACCTCAGATTCGTGTTCGGGTCGAATACGGGTCGGGTGTTACATATGTTTTGTAATTATTTCATATACACGGAGGCGCATTTAACCGGTATCCAACGTTGCTTCTCAAAGCTGATGCTGAATCTTAAGACAGTTTTCTGTACTGTGCATTGTTATAAGTGTTGGTTTATTATGATCAAATTTGATCAGTCAAAGGTGATAAGAGAGTATCCATGTTATACATTATTATATCAACTATATTGATGATAACATACAAGGCAGCTCAGATTACATTTCATTAAGTGGTGGATCCATTAAAGTCTAAGGTGAATACTGAAAATTTCAAAAAAAAAATTCATGTAATTGTCAATTTTACTTATTATGTTCATCTTGTATAAAAATATTTATGTTGTTAATAAATATGTATACCTACCCTTTAAGATATTTCTGAATCCATTCAAGTTCACAAAAAAGAGACACTTTGCCATAGCTTATTCCATACAGGGTTTAAAATCTTGAATTCCACTTATTTAAATGCTAAAAATGTAAGAAAGAGATGGGTGTGAAGCAAATTACAAATGGATAAATAGCAGAAGGGATTAAAAATACTTGATCATTATTATTAAAATTGTTTTTTAGGTTCAAAAATTATTTTACTGAATAAATATATATGTATTTTAAAAACCAAAATCATCCTTGATTATTTTGAGTTAAATATAACCGAATACTTGTAGATCTGTCTTTTGTATAAAAATAATAATTTTAAAGATTTCCATTTAAAACTAGTATCAAAATTAATTTGAAAATCGGTTATGCACGATAAAAATTAAACCAATCTCGTGACACCACAAAAATAATACATTGTTTAAAAATTTGTCTATTTTATTAAACAAATGAAACACATAATAATAATAATAATGATGATGATAATAATAATTATAATAATAATAAGAATAAGAATAATAATAATAATAATAATAATAATAATAATAATAATAATAATAAAAAATAATGATGATGATGTATAATGTATAAAAATTAATAAACAAATAATGCAGGATAAACAAATGAATAAATATGTTAAAGAATTAAATAAGTGAATAAATAAATATGCTAATAAAATTAAATAAACAAAAGAATCATAAATCTAAGACATGGTGAAAAGTGTAATTAATTATGTAATAAGACTAAATCACAATATATACAAAGGTGGAAGGACCACAAAAGCAATTTACCTAAAAATGAAAAGAATAGGTATATTTTATCATATTTTAGGTCGTGCGTGTGAGTTTGGTTTTTAAAATGATGTCGTTTGAGAATCTAAATAATCTTAGAATGATGTCGTTTTGGAATTTGTAATACTTTCTTCTTCTTTCTTTCTCTCAATTTTTTTCTTTCCTATTCTCTCTCTGGGAGCTCAGTCAGTCGTTGTTACTTGTCGTCATTGACGACGACTGAAAATAATAATTCTGTCAAAACATCTTTCTACCATTGAGCACAATTTTGACATTAGTTTCACTTAAAAATGCCCAAGTGATGGACATTTGTGCCTAAACGTTGCATTTGTTCTTCATCAATATCCCAAACGAACCATCGAAATGCCTTGTTCTTCAAGTATGTAGTTCTTTTCATCACACTGTTCGAATTGTCGAGAAAAAGCTCAAGTCACCGAAAATAGTTTGGCCGAATAGGTACACCCTCTTGTTTTCTTACCTTTTTCGACTTCTTGATTAATACTTCATCTCCCTTTCTACAAGTTGATTCTTAGGGGTTTTCCATTTTCTTATAAATTTTTAGTTTGATTTTCCAGCTTTGTTTAGGATTCTTTCTTTCTTTTTTCATCGAATTTGTATAGACAAAGAGACTGTAGAAAATATGGGATGTTATGCGAGGTGGTGATAAGGTTGCTAGGGATAAGATTGGGGGATAAAATTTTAGTTACTATAAGATTATGACTTAATATAAAAAATAAGTTTTTAAACTATACATTTTTTTTGTTTAGTTATCTACACTATTTTTCGGTTAATTTAGATATATAACATTTTCAACGTTATATTTTAAGGTAGTTGGACCATTCATGTCATTAAATTCTGACGTTAAATGAAACATTGTATATTTATAAAATTTTAAAAAATTATATTTTTAAAAAAATAAAAATTATATGAGAGTGACACATGTTACTTAACGGCAGAATTTAACACCACTGCAATCGAGACACCTCAAAGTGTAACATTGGAAACGTTAAGACACCTAAGTGGTGTTTGTTTTTGCAGAGGTAAGAGGTCTACAGTATGCGGACCACATCTGCAGCAGAAGAGGTGAATCAAAAGTCTGCAGTCTGCAAGAAGAAGACTGATTATTTTTTAACGTCTGCAGACTGCTAAAATAAACTGATTTTTTAAACTATACTCAAATAACCATTTTTTCTATTAATTTTTTAAAAATTATAAAATGTCATTATATTTAATGAATTATTACAAAATAGTCATTATAATGTTGTAATAAATTATAAAAGTTCGATAATATAATAATTATTTTATAGTATTTAGATAAATTTATTAATAATTTTATATTCTTTTAATAAATTTAATAAGTATTTTATAATTTTTTAAACTTTATTGACGAATATGATCATTTGTATATAACTCAACGATATCTAATATATTTTATTTGAAAAAGTATATTAAATAAATATTATACGAATATTATTATTATAAATTATTACATCTACGAACTATTAGATTTTGGTTTTAATATTATATATCATTTTAAAAATTATTATTAAAACAATCGATAATGAATTCAATTTGATTTTAATTCAATATGTTTGTTTCGGTTTAAGTAATTGTTAAAAAATTATATTTTAATTCTCTATTATTATCGATTCACAAATATATCAATACTCGATTTTATAATATCATTTAAATCATCTTAATTTATTCGAGTGGTACAATCCGATTATAGTAACATAAAAAAATATATATAATATATACTCCATATAATATACATAAATTAGTATTTTTCTATTTAGAAAAAATATATTATTTGTTTTTTATTTATTTATTTTGTATAAAGAGACTTTCGTACTTTACCAGAATTAAATTATAAGAATCAGATTTTTCAATAGTGTGAATTTTTTTTATTAAAACATTTATTTTATTTTTTAATGCTAATAATTGTATGTCCCCCTGATTTTCTAAGTTGTTATATAAAAAAAAGTTTACTAAGTTTAATTTTATAATATTTTTTACTAAGTTTAATATATTTTTGCAAATAAAGTATATTAAATATCGTTGAGTTATATACAAATGATCATTTTCGTCAATAAAGTTTAAAAAATTATAAAATACTTATTAAATTTATTAAAATATTATAAAATTATTAATAAATTTATCTAAATACTATAAAATAATTATTATATTATCAAACTTTTATAATTTATTACCACATTATAGTGACTATTTTTTAATAATTCATTAAATTTAATGACATTTTATAATTTTTAAAAAATTAATAGAAAAAATGGTTCTTTAAATAGGTTAGAAGAGGTTTGAAGACATAAGTCCACGTCTGCGCCAAGAAGAGGACGCGCATACGTTAGAAGAACTTCTGTCTTCTAAAAAACAAATGATCTGCGAAGCCCAATGTCTGCGCGTGATCTACGCAGCGCAGACATAAGAGCTTTGAAGACCTTAAACAATGAAAACAAACAACACCCTAGATTGACAAAAAAATTTAGAGACCTAAATGAAAAAATTGTATAATTTAGACACTTATTTTTATATTAACTCCAAGATTATTAAATGGCGATTGAGTAGATGAGGGAGTGTAACCGATAAAATTTTGGAGAAAGAAAGATTTTAATGAAGCTATTTTTTTGTGTAAGATTTAATTCGAGTCAAGGTGAATTTGAGTATTAGATTGACTCAATTTTGGGTTGGTTGATTCTTTTGAGTCATATGAGAGTTGAATTTAATGAGTTAAATTAAGTTTTGATAATATTTATTTTAATAGTCTAGAGAGATTATAACATATTATTTATAATATTTTTTATAATTATTACAATGCATACACATCCTGTAGACGCACTTACTCAACATAAAATATCGAGAGAGAAATATGTTTTTTTGAATTAATCACTGATATCCGATCTATTAATCGATTAATTCATATAAGATACTGTAGAGACAAAAGTGATTCTCTCAACTCAGTTGACTCTATTCGCAAACTATAATATTTTAGAGGAAGGGTTCAAGGTTGATTTGGTTCACCAAGAATAATAACTATAATATAATGTAAATAAACAAATGATTTTATAATAAATAAACAGAAAAAAATATTTATAAACTTATTTACTCAAATTTAATATAAATACGTATAAATACGCATATAGCCAAATGTACTACAATTACACAAAAAATTGTTTTTTTGAAGATATACTTGTACATACATATCTAACCCCAATGGGGGCAAATACTTAACCATTGATTATAACTATGGTTTAAATAGGGGTTAAGAAGGACAACCACAAAAACTTAGATTTTTTAATTATCAAAAATCATCACCCTTCTCTTCCGCTTCCACCTTTTCTTTTTGTTTCATCTTCCAAGCAACCCAGTTCTCAAATTAACAGAGGAAAAAGAACGATTTTTTTTTATTTTTTTATTTTTCATTTCCAAGCTTCTTAATTTCTCCCTTGTCATCAAATTTCTCTTAAACCCAACTTCAAAACCCTAAAATCCATTTTTTAGCTCTTTGTTGCATGTTTTTCTTTAATTTTTAGCCTTTCCCCCCTTTTTTGGGTGTTAACTATAGATGTTAGAGCCATGGATATAGCCCTTGCAAACCCCACACCAAAGTCGCCGGAGGCATCGCCGGAGATCGAGCCGGTGAGTGAAACGCCAACTCGGAACCAACCCGGCAAGCCCATATCTTTCACCAACGGCGTTCTGAAGCGTCACAAGCCTCAGCACCACCGCCTCCACCAAGCGCCACCCATCGTCTTAACCTACAAAGAATGTCTGAAAAACCATGCAGCCTCCTTAGGCGGCCACGCTTTAGACGGTTGCGGTGAATTCATGCCTTCCCCATCAACCACCCCAACTGACCCTACTTCACTCAAATGCGCCGCTTGTGGCTGCCACCGCAATTTCCACCGACGTGAACCCGATGACCTACCCCCCACAACAGCCACCGCCATGATAGAATACCAACCCCAACAACGCCACCATCCGCCACCACCGGCAAACCAACCGAATCGTAGTCCTAACTCAGCTTCCCCACCGCCGATCTCATCATCTTACTACCCTTCAGCACACCACATGCTTTTGGCTCTCTCGGGAGGCCTAACAAACTCTCATTTACCAGCTGGTGGCCTTACTGCAAATCTTGGGTCGAACTCGAAGAAAAGGTTCAGAACAAAGTTCACTCAGTATCAGAAGGAGAAGATGCTGGAGTTTGCTGAGAAAATTGGGTGGAAAATCCAGAAGAGAGATGAAGAAGACATTCAAGACTTCTGCCATGAAGTTGGGGTTGATAGAGGGGTTTTAAAAGTCTGGATGCATAACAATAAGAACACTTTTGGGAAGAAAGATCAAGCCAATGGAGGATCAAGAGATGGAATAATTGGAGGTGTTGGACTCAACCATGAAGAACACCAACATAACAACAGCAGCAGCAGCAACAACAACAGCGACATCAGAACTGGTTAGAATCTGAACCATCACTTGGAAACTGATAGTGTTGCACATGTCGGAACTAATGGCTGCTCTTCTTCCTCTTGATGTGGTTGATGGTGATGGTGATCAGCTTCATCTTTCTTTCTTTCTTTTCCTTTTTCCTCATGGGGAGATAATAAGCTGTTAGATTAGAGTAAGGGACTTGTTTATTAGTTTAAATTTTGTTTCTTTCATTTTGGTTCCCAATTAGTTTAATTGAAAGATCATCACTTTGCTACTGATATAACCTGCTGGGAACTGAGAGCTGCTATGAATCCAAAAGGGAATTTATTTTCTTTCTTCTTTCAAATCCACTCTCTTTCTTTTTGGGATCATAAACTTCCATGTTTTCTGTGTTTCCAAACAGTGAAAATTTTGTTAAAAACCCTTTCAATCTATGATATTTCCTTAATCAAAGTTAATGACAGTGAGAAACCAATATAATAGCTTCCGTTTCCATTATCTCTGTCAGATAAAAAGAAGCAAAACTTGCATCAGAGAATCATTTTAAAATACCCCATTTATTTTAAAACAATATTTTAGGTTGGAATTTTGTACAAAATATGATTTTCATAGTTTGTTGATGAGCTTACCGAGAAAAGAAAAGGGTCTTTAGTTTCCTTTAAAGATGATTTTGCAGAATAATGAACTATGTGCATGAAATCTGCAGGCTGAGATAAACTGATAAGACTAATGTTTATATAAAATATTATCTAAAAGATTTAATTTATTCTTCATCAAAGTACAAAAAGGAATGCTTCATTAGTTCTCAATAGCCTCTTTGCTTTAGCTTTATTTACTATATTTTTTAAAAAAATGCAGGAGGATGAGATAAGCTTTGATGGGGCTACTATATGTTACATATAAAAATAATTTGATCTATTGGAATTATGTGATTTATGGACAATCCATCTGATCTTTTGCTTTATTCAATTTTTTATTACACTTTCCTTTAAAGGGAAATAAGATCTTGAAAATCCCATTATTGATACCATTATTACTCTCACTATCTACACACTACTTCTTTAGTAGATATATATATATATACACACTATTATTTAAAGGATTGATATTTAATTTTATATTGAGAATTATGGTAAAAATATGAAATTAGAATGGAGGATGGTGGCATAAATGTTTGATGAAGTCAGGTCTAAACAAATATGAGTCGGTTTAGCCTTAAAAGTCCACCCTTAAGACCAGGGAGATTCTCTTGTGTTTACTTGAATTTTGAGCTTTGGTGCTGTTTCCAACACAACTTTTCATTCAATTTAATTTAACGCCACAACGGTTTCTTGTGCTCCTTTTCTATCACTGTTGTCCAGCGATGCAGACGAACCGGCTTTGAACTATTAAGGATGCGTTTGTGTTCGTTTTCTATTTTCAAAGATGTTATATTTTATGGTGGTTGTGTTTGTGTCTGTTTATTTTTTTTTGAAAATCACCGTGTTCGATTCGTTTAATGTTTATAAACTTGTCTTTTTAATGATCACATACATATTCATTTAACGTTTGTAAATATTTTTGTTTTAAAGTTCATTTAATGTTTGGCAAACAATCCTCTTTTTATCTTATTATTTGCAAGTCAAAGAAAAATAGTAAAATTATCGAGTAGTTTTTAAACTCGTTAGACTTTATAGATTGAATTCAAAAGTTTATCATGTATTTAATTCAGAATGTACCTTTACCAATATTTAAAATATAAAATAGGAAAAGGAAAGCTGGTTAAACGAATTTATAAATGAGTCGGTAAATTAACTTGTTTATGAACATAAATTAATCAAACACATTTCTCTTTGTATTCGGTCGTTTATTAAATAAATATAAAAAAATTATTCATATCTATCTATTTAATTTAATAAATGAATATAAACGAACATTATATTAATAGTTTACAAAAAAAAAATTCATTGAAGACTTTATTTACTTTATTTATACCCTAGTGATCATATCTCAAAGTCTATGCTTTCATTAGGTATGTGTTCATCTTGTAAGGTTTCTTAGCAAATTTTAAAGGACAAAACGGAGGAGTGAGCCTTTATTTTCACTTGTCTTGACAAATTTTCTTCTTTTTGTCTGAGGATGTTCAATCATTATAATTCTAGTTGGGAAAAGAAAAAAATGGTGAGATGTAATAGGCTAATAGTATTTTATATGTTCAGTGTGTTTAGAAGCTTTGTGTTAGCTTTAATTATAGTTCTGAAAGAGAGAATGATAAATTAATAAACTAATTAAAAGGTTAAGTTGCTCCTAAGATAATGTTAGGTGTAATATGACATTACATCAAACAGTTTTTTATACTTTTTTTGTTGGGAAAGGGTGTTTGAAATTCACCAAAACTAGTAATAATTAGGGATTTGATTAGTGGAGTTAAACTGAAGTAAATGAAGGAACTTGTTTGCTTTTACTTAATATAGATATATGTGGGTGATGGGGCATTTGTATTTATGTCCCCACATGACAGCAAAACTATACAACTAATCATTGGATGATATTAGAAATTTAAAGTTTGAAATTTGGTGGGTGATTTATTGTTCCACATCACCTTTGCCCATAACTAGATATGACTCATTGCCCATCACTTTTTGAGGTTTTTATTATTTATATTATATAATAAGTTTTTAATTGGGTTAATTTTTTATCAATTAATTGACTTAATATATATATATACTATTAATTAATTGTGATATGAGAACACCCATTTTCATGTTTTAAAAATTAAGATAATATTTTTGTATTATGATTAAGGATGAGCATTTGATCGAGTCGAGTCAAAAATATTTCGAGTTATTCTAGTTGACAACTTTTATTTTATGGCTCGAACTTCATTTGAATTTTATTTAGTTGAGTAGAGATTCAAGTCTCAAGTTTCTATATAAAATTATTATAATTATTTATAGTATTATGATAAGGATTGATTCCAATTTTTAATCTCCTCTAACTATAATATATATATATATATATATATATTCTTTTTATATTATAATATTATTTAATATATCAAATACAATCTAAAATTCTAAAAAATATTTATAATATTATATTTTAAAGAAGTTATTTTGAGGCTAAAATATTGATGACAATATATAAATGTGTCAAAGAACAGATGGGAAGAAAGAATGTGCAAACAACTACATTCAAACGATTGAATTGAGTAAAATTCAAAGTTAAAAGACTAAATAGAAAAGGATTTTATTTTTAGTAAAAATAAAAATTGAAGTTACATAGGTATTCTATAGTGGTATAGGAGGATGTGGTTCAGATTTTGATAAAAACAAACTTAAAATAAAAGATGAATTGAAGAAATAAGAAAATCAGGAAAAATAGAGGAACTAAATAAATAAAATAAAAAAATGTTATAAAAAAGAATTAAATGCACATAGGTATTCTATTATGCTATAGGAGCAAATTGTTCAAATTTGGTAAAAAAATGACTTAAAATAAATGAGGAATTGAAGGAATAAATAAATCAATGACTAAATCATAAAACCATAAAAATAATCAACCAATTTTTTCATTTTTTAGTGACTCGAAATTTTCAAATTTTAACTCGACTCGAAGACTCAAAAATCGAATTGATAATTCGAGTCAACTCGAATAACTTAAAATTGAAAAGAAAATAATTTTTCGAATCGATTTTTACTCATCCCTAATTACGATAGCTTATGAGGTAAATTATAAATTTATTGGAACACTATCTTATTATTAATTATTCATATAGAGAAATATCCTTTTTAAAATTGAATAATTTTTTATTTTTTAAAATATCAATCTAAATATTTTATTTTCACATTAATTCACCTTGTTAGTAAATTTCGCATTCATCAAGGGATCAAAATCAAATTGAAATTTGTATTTATAAGTTTTTAAAAATTGAAACAACATATGTGATGAAATCTCGTCTTCGTAATTCAAGTGGAGATGCTCGCGTTCCTAATCGAATTAAGGTGACCCGAGTAAAGGATTTGTCAAATTTGGACTTTGGTTGATTTGTGTGGAAGCTAAAAGAATGGTAATGAATTGGTGTTATTGTATATGAATCTTCGACGAATAAATGGACCGAGACCCACTAACTATAAAATGTTAGGAGCATTTGATATAACAAGATGGACAAAATATATAACTTGACCCGCTATCTATTGAAGAGATAAGAACCAAATCTATATAAAAAAAAAGATGAACGCCACACTTATAAAAGTGATAAGTTCGGTAGAGAGACGCCACAAGAAAACCTTGACAAGTCAAAGATAAAACTGAAAAAAACTCAACTTGTTTTATTAATAAAATGACAAATTCAACTTGTTACAAAATAAAATTTAATGACCTGTTTATAGGCTTACATAAGATATGAAAAATCTCAAGTGCCTTTAGTGGATGGCCATACATGTATCTTCCAAGGTATGAATTTATATTAATTCGATTCATTCATAAATCTACCAAGTTTATTCATGAATCTACCCTAAATTCATTCAATGTATCTTTTGATTCATGTTCTCATTGTTTGAATTCATTTACACCTCTTCATTTTCATGCATGTATGAATGAATATTCATATTTTAGTGAGTGAAAAACCTATTATCCATCCATGTATGTAGGAGATGAATGGTTGTTCTAGCCATACATTTGAATAGTTCAATAGGTGAATGCATGACTTGTCCAAGAGTCCCCAAGCTTGCATATATAAATAACCAGTTGAATTCCACAATCCCTTGTTATAAACTTCCATATGACATAAATCTTGTTCATGCAATGTTATTAGGTTCTTGCACCCGTCAATCAGGTGGAAATTGAAGGAAAGCACCAATCATGAGTGAGTAGCCAGTATTTCTCGTAATGAATTCCAGCTTGTACTATATTCAGTAAAATGTTCATATATCAAGCTCTTGATATTGGATTGATGTGATTCAAAAGGCATTGGAAAGATAAGATAAAGGAATAAGATCCAATGGATTTTAGAATATATTTTAATCGCACTAGAAATGAAAGACAAACTGACAGACAAACTAACTGATGTTCTTAATCCTTCTTCCATTCTTGTTTTAATATTTAGGCCGACCAATTGAACCAAAATATCAATTCATGTTCATGTATGAATATAATGCACACCAAAAATTCAAATGTGTAACATATATATTTAAAATATATGGCTAATAAGAACTCCTCCCTCTAAATCAATATGACATCATTAATGGCGGAGGCTCCTCCTTGACATCGAAGTAAGAACTCACATATCCATGCTTAGCACGATCATAACTAATTAGAACCTTCAAATACTTGATTTTGTTTCAAATATCTCTGATTAAGCTTGTAG